TAAACCGCTTAGAGAGGGCTGAAAGCCCTATGAAGTGGTATATAAGTCTACTGCTATTGCTATATTGCTATTGCTATTCAGCAAAACATACAAAACATTCTTATTCAATGGAAATATTTAAGTCTCAGGATCCCAGATGTGCAAAATTATTACTGAATTTGAATACATGAATTTGTATGCCATGATTCCCACTGGCCTCATGATAGCTTAGGGCAACTGTAAAATAAAATAAAACATCCATAAGACATACATCTAAAAATCACAATAATAATATCAAGAAACAGTGAAATGAACAAAACCTTAATAACTTACAATAATGACAAAATGACAAGAATCGTCAGGCAATGGCACGTGATAATTCTTAAAACTTTCTCTTTTAGAGAACAATTGGTATTCACAATTTTGTGAAGGCCACTAACAAGGTTCAAGCAGGAGACTGTTCTAAAATACAGACACAATATTGCAGAACATAATTTTGTAGCTTTAGTCCTGTTGAGGCACCAACAACTTCTGATGCCAGTTTCTCCTTGAATGGGTCAACACTGAAGGGAATTTAAAAAAAAATATTGGTGGGAAAATACTACAATATGTAACTGAATCATAAGATCCACTAATTAAATTGAATAAAAATTAGATTAAATGCCATTGAAATCATCATTAATTTTTTCTCCCTAACCCATTCTTGAAGCATATCTTCAGCCTCCATTCATATGCCAAATGTGACCCTTGTTTTTAATTCCTTACAATGTTGTTCCAATTGGTATCCTGAAAAATCTATGAGAAGTGATATTAGATTCCTTGATAGTATAGAGCAGCTTTTGATACCCTTTAATAGCAATAGCACTTAGACTTATATACCGCTTCACAGTGCTTTACAGCCCTAAGCGATTTACAGAGTCAGCATATTGTCCCCAACGATCTGGGTCCTCATTTTACCCACTTTGGAAGGATAGAAGGCTGAATCAACCTTGAGCCTGGTGAGATTTGAACTACCAAATTGTAGGC